ATTAATTTATCTGACGACAAAATTTCATTATCAAGTTTAAATACTTTAATGGATTCTTGAGATACATCAGGGTCTCTACTAATACTTTGATCAAGACGGTTCAACTCTCCTTTTAATGTTACTATTTCTCCAAAAACATATGACAGACTAGGTCCACTTTCAGACGAAAGTTCATTACTTGAGATTTTCATCGTCTGGATTGCTGTTGCAACATTTTTTAGTATTCTGATGTCAGTATCAGTCAATGTATGCAATTCAATAAATGTAGACTTTTCTTTGGAGTCCTTGTAAATTTCTGAATATTTTTTAATGGCCTGATTGATGTTTGATAAATAATACTGTTAATCATATCCAATTTGGAAAACCACCTCACATCAATATCACTTCTTAAACACTTTGCTTCATTCATACCGTTATCATCTTTACAAGGAAGAATTATCTGTGAACAACGTTTCACTTTCTTCACTATTCTCTTGGTCTTTTTGAGAACTTCTGCTACTTCTAGAGTTTCTGAAATACATTTCTTGAGAGCCATATCCAGTCTATGACACGAGCACCCAATAGAAACATGCCCCGATAACTTGACACCTTTAACGACATTGGATGCATTGTCTGTTATAATTGGAAAGTCTCCGTATTTACCAAGATTCCAATTATCAACAACATGATTAATAAAATCTGAAATGTTATCAGCATTATGAGAATCCGAAAATTCAGACAATTCCAGAACTCTTGACTTCATCTGAGATTTGTATAAATAGTGTAAGGTAAAACTAAAGAATTCAAGACCTTGTGGAGATTTCCATCCGTCCATTGTACCACAAATGCCGCTTTGTGATTCGCCTATTTCTTGTGACAATTTTGTTTTCAATTTAATATAGGTATATTTCAACCTCGTTGATAATGTCTGATGAGATGGCGGTTTGTAAGTTTTATCAAAGAGATTAAAAAGTTTGACAAAAGGTTCATATTCTACAATAGATAGTGGTATGCCAGGACATGACACCAGGTGCACCAAAAGTTCATCAATATTTCTGTGGAGAACACTGGGGTCTCTTATACCTTTGTTGTATTCGCCACGTTTCTTTTCAAGTTGTGGGATACCACAACAATCTGGGTGCTTCTTTCTTAAATGCTTGAGCACATTTGTTGTAGTAAAACTGCTGCCACATGCGTATCTCGCTTTACAATGTTGACACTCGAACTTGTATATACCTTGAACCATGTCAATTTTTTTTCTTTTGTGTTGTCTTTTGCCAGTCTTTTGATCATATTCATATACATCCGTTTCAGTGTATGTCTTGATTGTTTCTTCTTTCTCACCATTTTCTCCATTTGTTATTTGAACAACGACAAGTTTACAATTACTCCAAATTACTATGTGTTCAATTGATATTTCT